AATTTTCCAAGCCAGCCTTCAAAGTACATCAACCCAGATCTTCCAGATGTTCAAGCTGGTTTTAGAAAAGGCAGAGGAACCAGAGATCAAGTTGCCAACATCCATTGGATCATAGAAAAAGCAAGAGAGTTAAAGAAAAACATCGACTTCTGCTTTATTGATTACACCAAAACCTTTGACTGTGTATATCACAACCAACTGGAAAATTCTTCAAGAGATGGGAATATCAGACAACTTTACCTGCCTCCTGAGAAATCTGCATGTAGGTTAAGAAGTAACAGTTAGAACTGGACATGGAATAACAGACTGGTTCCAAATTTGGAAAGGAATATGTCAAGGCCATTGTCACCCTGCTTATTTAACTTCTATGCAGAGTACATCATGAGAAATACCAGACTGCATGAAGCACAAGCTGGAATCAAGATTCCTGGGAAAAATATAAATATCCTCAGATACACTTATGACATCTCCCTTATGAGAGAAAATGAAGAGGAACTAAAGAGCCTCTTGATGTAAATGAAAGAAGAGAGAGAAAAAATTGGCTTAAAACTTAGCATTCAAAAAACTAAGATGATGCCATCCGGTCCCATCACTTCATGGCAAATAGATGGGGAAACAATGGCAGACTTCATTTTCTTCTGCTCCAAAATCACTGCAGATGGTGACTTGCAGCCATGAAATTAAAATATGCTTGGTCTTTGGAAGAAAAGCTATGACCAACCTAGACAGCATCTTAAAGAACAGAGACCTTACTTTGCCAACAAACGTCCATCTAGTCAAAGCTATGGTTTTCCCAGTAGTCATGTATGGATGTGAGAGTTGGACTGGAAAGAAAGCTGAGTGCCAAAGAATTGATGCTTTTGAACTGCAGTGTTGGAGAAGACTGTTGAGAGTTCCTTGGACTGCAGGCAGATCAAGCCAAGCAATCCTAAAGGAAATAAGTCCTGAAAATTCTTTGGAAGGACTGATGCTGAAGCTGACTCTCCAATACTTTGCCACCTGATGTGAAGAACTGACTCACTGGAAAAGACCCTGATGCTGGGAATGATTGAAAGCAGGAGGAGAAGGGGACAACAGAGGATGAGAAGGTTGGATGGATGGCATCACTGACTTATGAACATGAGTTGAGCAAGTTCCAGGAGTTTTGATGGACAGGGAAGGCTGGCATGCTCCAGTCCTTGGGGTCACAGAGAGTCGGACACAGCTGAGCAACTGAAATGAACTGAACTGAGCTGAAGATCACTCCACAGAGGTACTAAATCAGACCCTGCATTTTAACCAGATTTTCTGTGATTCCTGGGCAAAACGAAATGCTAGAGAAGCACTTTTTGAGTGTCTCTAGTTGTCTGCCAGCACTCAGAAAGAAATAGGCAGACCAAGAGCGCCGTTCAGTGTCCCTAACTATGTGCCTAGTAAATACACATGATGGAAGGTTTAAATAACTAGGAAGCTTTTATTTACTTAGAATAGTGAAAAATCTTGAAACAAAAAGTGCAAATTTTATTTTTTAAGAAGAACGAGTCTTTTATATAACTCCAAAATATTTTATTTAGGTAAGCCATCTTTTTGGTAGGATGTCTGGCTTTAGGGATGATGATGAAAACTCAGACATTCATGCTTCATGTGTATGAATCTGGATTCAATTTCAGGCATCAAGACCAACTTCTTAGCACTATTAAGTCTTATAAAGACTTCTTTGTCTCTTTGATGTTAAAAGACAGTCAGCGTCCCTTTGGGCTTCCCATTTGGCACTAGTAGTAAAGAACCCACTTTCCAATGCAGGGGAAGTAAGAGACAGTGGTTCGATCCCTGGGTGGGAGAAGAGGACCTGGAGAAGGGCATGACAACCCACGCCAGTGTTCTTGCCTGGAGAATCCCATGGACAGAGGAGCCTAGCGGGCTACAGTCCATGGGGTCATGAAGAGTCGGACACGACTGAAGCGAATTAGCATGCACACAGGCAAGCAGCCCTTTACTTCTGTGAACTGCCATTTCCTTGACCGTAGGGCCGCGGTGAAAGAAGATGGTGAAAGAAGACAGAGTTTGATGGAGAATTATTTTTTAATTAAAATTTTAATTGAAGAACAACAATTTTACAATATTGTTATGGTTTCTGCCATACATCAACATGAATCACATATATAACTGTAGCTGATTCATGTTGATGAGAGAATTCTAATAAAGGTTTTTTCATATGTGGAACTGATTACCCACCTTGAACTAATTTCTATTTTCTTTCTTTCTAGATTTGCAAATAAACAAACCCCTTATCTCATGTCAGTTTTGTATAAGTGAACTAAACTAAGTACACAATTTTATATCATAAACCTTTGATCAAAGCCTGAAGCAATATATAGCTTTCAGGACTGAAGTTTAATTTTATGAATTAACTAATTTTATTAAATAGCTTTTATAGCTAAAATTCATATATATTTAGGTTTGAATTTAATAAAAGTGATTTGAAATGGATTTTGTCATTTTCTAAATTATTAATTTTTAAAATTAAAATATGGTTGATTTGCAATGTTGTGTTAATTTCAGGTGTAAATCATGGTGAATCAGATATATATAATAGAGAAGCACTTTTTGAGTGTCTCTAGTTGTCTGCCAGCACTCAGAAAGAAATAGGCAGACCAAGAGCGCCGTTCAGTGTCCCTAACTATGTGCCTAGTAAATACACATGATGGAAGGTTTAAATAACTAGGAAGCTTTTATTTACTTAGAATAGTGAAAAATCTTGAAACAAAAAGTGCAAATTTTATTTTTTAAGAAGAACGAGTCTTTTATATAACTCCAAAATATTTTATTTAGGTAAGCCATCTTTTTGGTAGGATGTCTGGCTTTAGGGATGATGATGAAAACTCAGACATTCATGCTTCATGTGTATGAATCTGGATTCAATTTCAGGCATCAAGACCAACTTCTTAGCACTATTAAGTCTTATAAAGACTTCTTTGTCTCTTTGATGTTAAAAGACAGTCAGCGTCCCTTTGGGCTTCCCATTTGGCACTAGTAGTAAAGAACCCACTTTCCAATGCAGGGGAAGTAAGAGACAGTGGTTCGATCCCTGGGTGGGAGAAGAGGACCTGGAGAAGGGCATGACAACCCACGCCAGTGTTCTTGCCTGGAGAATCCCATGGACAGAGGAGCCTGGCGGGCTACAGTCCATGGGGTCATGAAGAGTCGGACACGACTGAAGCGAATTAGCCCGCACACAGGCAAGCAGCCCTTTACTTCTGCGAACTGCCATTTCCTTGACGGTAGGGCCGTGGTGAAAGAAGATGGTGAAAGAAGACAGAGTTTGATGGAGAATTATTTTTTAATTAAAATTTTAATTGAAGAACAACTATTTTACAATATTGTTATGGTTTCTGCCATATATCAACATGAATCACATATATACCTGTAGCTGATTCATGTTGATGAGAGAATTCTAATAAAGGTTTTTTTCATATGTGGAACTGATTACCCACCTTGAACTAATTTCTATTTTCTTTCTTTCTAGATTTGCAAATATACAAACCCCTTATCTCATGTCAGTTTTGTATAAGTGAACTAAACTAAGTACACAATTTTATATCATAAACCTTTGATCAAAGCCTGAAGCAATATATAGCTTTCAGGACTGAAGTTTAATTTTATGAATTAACTAATTTTATTGAATAGCTTTTATAGCTAAAATTCATATATATTTAGGCTCGAGTTTAATAAAAGTGATTTGAAATGGATTTTGTCATTTTCTAAATTATTAATTTTTAAAATTAAAATATGGTTGATTTGCAATGTTGTGTTAATTTCAGGTGTAAATCATGGTGAATCAGATATATATACTTTTTCAGATTCATTTCCCTTACAGGTTATTACAAAATATTGAGTAAGACTCCTTTTATAATTTTTAATGTAGTTTCCTTCTTTCCTTTTTGGTGTTGTAGAAGAAATATCTGAAGAAAAAATGTTAAATATCTCAGAATTTCCAAGGCATTTGTCAATTCTTTCATGATTAATTTATCTTCTCATAAATTTGCTACATTTCCTAAAGTTATTATATTTTGATATCTGATAGTACAAAGGGATTGATTAATCTACTTTTGGGCTCAAATAAACAAGGAGGCTGCTTTTCGTTATGCAAATGTATATTTCTGACTTAAAAAATAATAATTTGCTTACTAGTTGTAAATTCATTCACAGTGGTTTATAGAGCTTTCCTTTATTAAGTAGCCTAAACTTCTGGCTATAAAAGAGTATTTCTGGAATTAGGGTAATGTTTTTGAAGCTCCTGAAAATACAAACAAATGTCTTATTTTTTATTAGTCACTGCCTAATAAATGTTGAGTTAATCTATATATTTTATAGATACTCAAGCAATGCCATCTTCAGAGAAGGTACTTTACCACTTTATCAAAATATAATGAATGAGTTGCTATAATAGCATTATATTCTCTTGACTCAATTGCACCTCACTTTATAAAATTATAAAATAGCACATGGCTTAATTTCTACTACCTCTTCTTCCACCTGCCAGTGAAGATTTGCTTATCTCAGGCATCTGCTGTACATGTCAGCATTCTTTTTCACTCATTTGCAAGTTAACCGTGGTTGCTGAATTCTCTTCCCTTAAGTTTCATTCAGTTGGTACTCAGTTATGTCTGACTCTCTGTGACCCCATGACCTACAGTAGTCCATGCTTCCCTCTCCATCACCACACCCTTAAGAACCACCCCCACGCCGGTAAATCTGAGGTCTTTTCACTTGAAGAAATGACTCCTCTCCCTTTCCTTTAAATCATCGGAGTGAGAAAAGCAGATCCCATCCTTTCACGGTGGCTCACATTACACTGAAACAGGTCCAGTATGTTCAGGTACACTTATTTTCTGAAATATCTCTATAGCTATAAGGACCACATTTCCATATTTTTAGCAGTACTTTTTTCTAATTAGCTTTGTTCGCATTGCTTTTTGCTCTTAAATAATTTGTATTTTAATTGAAATTTTCTTTTTTAGCTGTGTTTTGGGGTGACATTGCCTTAGATGATGAAGATTTAAATATCTTTCAAATTGATAGGACAATTGACCTTACACAGAACCCCTTTGGAAGATTTGGACATACCACAGGTACGTTTGATTATTTGACTTGGTTTGCGTTTATTTAGAAGAAAATATACTCTTGAAATGCTAAAATACAATTTAGATCATTTTGAATGTTCTGGTGATCAAATTTTATTTCCTTGATACAGATTAGTCTATTTATAAATTTAAGTTTTGTTCATAAATTCATAATTTTAACTTTATTATGTAATGTAGTTAAGAATGATGTTATAGTGTTCACCATGTACAAGGCCTGGCTTAAGTACTTTGCAGGTGTTAACTCTTTGAATCCTCATAATGACCCCATTATGAGTAGCTGCTGATGTTATTGTGGTTTACCTGGAGATTTATAAGGTTATGTGCTTTTCTTGGGGCTTCCCCCGTGGTTCAGTGGTAAAGACTCTGCCTGCAGTGCAGGAGATCGGGGTTCAATCCCTGGGTCAAGAAGATCCCCTGGAGGAAGCCATAGCAACCCATTCCAGTATTCTAGTCTGGAGAATCCTAGGACAGAGGGGCCTGGTGGCCTACAGCCCATAGGGTCGCAAAGAGTCAGATGATGGAAGAGACTGAGAGTGCATGTATAGTTTTCTTGTTGTCACACCGCCAGGAAATGACTGAGTCAGGACCAAGGTTCACTCCTGAGGAAGGTTAAATTTCATACTCTCGAACATTATATTCAGTTGCATCCCATTTGAATATAGAGATGCAGAAGGTAAATTATTCTTGAGTGATTATACACAAACATATTTAGAAAAAATTATATATCCATTTTTATAACTTTTATGAAAACCTGGAAGACAGTTTCAATTTTAGCTGTTTGCACATGTTTGAATTATGCCTATATGTGACTTGTAATATTTCAAAGATATTTGGGTTTTCATATTAAAATAATTTAATTAAAATTTGAAAATTATTTATATAATCTTGATACAATTTTTATTCTGTATTTTGGAGAAAATTGAAAGGTTAAAAATATAAAATTTCTTTTTGTAGTTATAGCTAAAGCATTTATTCAGTCATGCTTTTTGATTTCATTGATCTCTCCTCCTGCTAATGCTACTATTATTTCCTTCTTGTATTCCATGGGAAATATATAGTCCCTTTGTGGTATCTAGCAGACAAATATATTTTAGTCTTAAGACTCTTTACTGTGAATTAACAAATCTCTTTTCCCAATTTTCTTTCCCACAAGTTTTTATTATGACAAGCTTCCAAAATATAGTGAAATTGATAGGATGATGCAGTCAACACCCATACACCTCAAAGATGCAACAACTGTTCAGCTTACCATATTTGCCCTGTGTGTGTGTGTGTGTGTGTGTGTGTGTGCATGCATGCATAAGTATGTATAAAATATTTTGAAGTTAATAGCAGATAACATAGGGCTTCTCAGGCAACACCAGAGGTAGAGTTCATTTGCCAATGCAGGAGCCCCAGGAGATGCAGATTCAATCCCTGAATCAGGAAGATCTCCCGGAATGGAAATGGCAAGTGTTCTTGCCTGGAAAATTCCATAGACTGAGGAGCCTGGTGGGGTACAGTCCATAGGGCTGCAAAGAGTAGGACACGACTCAGTAACTGACCACATATGGACACATGCACACAAATTCGCTTTTCAATGTTAAGTAGGTTAGCATGCCCTTTTAAGAATAAAGACATTATTGTACATAATCAAAATGCAAATGTTACATATGAGAAATTTATGTAAGGTAATAAAACTTAAGAAATGTATTTAAAAGAATATGGTACTTAAAAATAATAAGCTTTAGTCTTTGTTATATGTAGTGAGTCTTTTCTGAAACACACAACCAAGTATATGAGGAAGCTGCTTCGCAGTGTAGTCACAGAGAGTCCGTTCCTATAGGGTGTGTTTATTGACAGACTGCAAACACTACCTCACACTTAACACCGTCACTGTCCGGCAACAGTTGATTTCAAAAAAGACAGCAATGAGACAACTCAGCAGAATCTTACATTTATCACATTACATTCTCAGTTTTCATTAAAACTTTTGTTAGATTTATGCTTTATTAAAGTGATTTCTTTAGCCCATTGTCCTCTCTTTGTACCAAAGGTGTTCATTTTCTGTGATTTAGAAAGTAATTAGCCTCCAATTAATAAAAATAAATGGAAAAAAATAAAATAAAATGAAGATGAAAAAAAGAAAATTAATACTATTGGGTTGGCCAGAAAGTTTGTTCATGTTTTTCAGGGGTTCAGATTTTTCGATTTTATATATTGGTCAACCCAATATATAATTTTGTAATTTCACTTATAGTTAAGCTCTGAAATGCTAATATTTGGAAGTAAACTATTATTCATAGAAAATCATAAAACTAAATCATGCTGTCATAAAGACATATTCTAAATATATATGTGAAAAGTACATGTTTCAAAGTAATTTGCACTATTCAGCTGAAGTTCCAACATCATAAAAGAATTCTATAGTTTGTTTTTACTCTCTTTTTCCTTTCTTGTTAGTTTGTGCTGCATTGACTATATTTCTTATTTGAAAATATATTGTATTTTTCATAAATATTTGTATAATTTCATTTTAGAATTTTTTAAATATGAGAAATAAATACATATTATGAATTTTATTATTTCAATGAGCTATCTATGCATAATTTTATTTATATTGCTATAAAAATTTTCAAACTTGCTAAAATATTAAAATATTATTGACTTTGATAATCTTGAAATGTTTTTTCTCATCTGTAATATTCTTATGCTTATCATTTACCTTAATATTAACTAAGACATTTATTTTTTCTTCATAATTAGCCTCCTTCTATATCTATGTGTTTCAGGCCTATCTAATATACCATATAATTGTTATGCAACGATCATTTCAAATACATTTTTATCATCCTTTAAAAATGTTTGCTATAACTGCTTAGGAATGAATACACTTAAGTATTACCTCATCTTTCTAAAATGTTCAATGAAAAATATTTAAAAATTTTTTCTCAAGGAGCATAGCAAGAATGTGACTATGTAATTCAAACAATTAAGCAGACTATTATTCAATGAACAAGCATTCTAACTTCTCTGCCTTATACGGACTTAATTGATATTTTCTAAAAGATGCTTATATGTTAACAATATTTATTACTTTTTATTAGCTTCAATCTAGGTAATTATGTTTTAGAATTAATTTCAAAGGGAAAGGAGATATTGAAAGGAAATAGTTCAAAGTGCAAGAACATGTTGTTTGCATGAATTTCTGGTACTCTTTCATTGTCTCAGCCCACAGGCTCATGAATCACTTGTTCTGATATCATTAGTGATCATATTAGTCGTTTGCTCAGTGATAACTCTTTGTATTTGTCCATCAGAATTCAAGGAGAAGGCAAACTAGGTGATAAAATTAAGAGAACATTTTGGGAAAAAAAAATAAGAGAGCATTTTGTTTAAGACCTGGAATGAGGATCAGAAGACTTGGATTTTCATCAAATGTTCTGCTTTGTGATTATTACTTTGTTCTTAAAGCTGCAAGAAAATATATTTTCTTATCCCTAACCCCCTCCTCTACATTGTGAGCTATAAAATCTTTATATCTTTTTTATAAAGATTGCAAATTGCACCAACATAATAAAATGTATTTTGCAGCTGGGCATCCTTTCAGATTCTCACTTTGTGACTTTTTAAAAAGCTATGTTATTGGTTTTTGTAAATTATAGAAACTAATTTTCAAATTTTATTTGAATGCATTATATTCATTACATATGCTATTAAAAATGTCTCAAACTTGATCCAAGCTTTGGAGCAAAATTTACACTATACACTTCCTTTTTTTCTTTTTCTAGTTTCATTGAGAAAAAATTGATGTACCTCATGTTCTTTTAGTGTTTTCATTTTCATCTGCTGATTTGTCATCTGAAAGTATTTAGTTTGCATTGGGAAAATAGCTGGAATTCAATCAACACGGCAGAACAATTTGGGTCTCTTCCTATATAATACTATGTGTTGTAAAGTTCACAGTGGGAAAAAAAAAGTCTCAAATTGTCAATAGATGACTCAGTTGCTATGATGTCCAAATAAATTGATTTAGATAGCTCTCTGATTTTCTCCTACCTCTTTAGTTTTAGTTGCAATTTTTTTTAATTGATAGATAATTGCTTTACAGTATTTCATTGGTTTCTACCAAACATATTGTAGAAGTTTTACCCCCTTCCAAGATTAATGGATATTATTACTTTAATGCAATTATATAAGACCACATAAAAAGAGATGTCCAAGGAGAAATCAATGTAACATGTTACTATTGCTTATTTACAAGAACTTTAATTTACAGTGAATTTAACTTAACTATTTTCCTTTACTCTTTAAGGTGGATTTGGAGACCATGGTATGTCAAAGAAACGAGGGGCCCTCTACCAACTTATAGACAGAATAAGAAGAATTGGCTCTGGTAAATCAATGTTCAAAGTTGTAGACTTGAGTTGCTGTATAGTGAATATTATACTCATAGCAGTTCAGTTTGCCGTTAAGATTCAAAGGATGGAAAGATGTATACTGAGAGAGTCCTTTATTACTTTATATTAGTTGATATGTGATGGGAGATTTTGGAACTTAGTTGGGGACATTTAAAATATTTTAACTTATTTCCAGCTTCTCCTTAATAAAAAAATGCATTAGGTGTTTATTTTACTGTTGATATTTATTTCCAAAAAATTGGTATCACAATAAGGTGTTTTATCAAGCGTGGAGCTACATCAGTTTTCGTCAAATGAAAAAATATGAATGCTTATTTTGAAACCAAATCCACTTAAAGTAAATTGGTAAACTGATAAATTAGATTAAAAAACAATTAAAATATTTTTAACTCTTCCAAAACTATGTATAGGAAAAGATTGAGAGAAACTGCTTTCTAGATTAATGATTAGTTAATATTTAAAATGTTGAATTTATTAGTCACTATTTGTGGATTTTAGAGTTTCTTTTTAAAGTCTCCTGTTCAAATTTCATATCCTAACTTTCCTTCAGTTGATTGATACTAATTAATTATGCCAAGAATTAATTTTTCCAAAGCTAAGATGCTTTGCTCTAGGATATTAAAAAATTAGATATGTTAGGGACACAGATATCAGGGGCAAACATTCAATGTTCATTGTGTTTGAAGTGTATGGAAGCTGTAAGCCATTTGTGTCAACAATGATATATCAAGAAGGAAAGTAAATTCGAAAGTGTAGGAAAAATAGCACCATAACAAAAAATTGTGAAAGGCTACCGAGAAAAGTTAGTGACTGCAGACCTGAAAGCTACTCCATAGCAGACTGCGTTTTACGTTGGCCTGCTCACCTTGTATACTGATCTCTAAATCATGCTGTTGTCTGGATACGAATCCCTAGGAAATTGGAATAGATGTAGCCCATTGTCCCAGAATCTGAGACCGTATCTGTATTATCCTTATTTCATTTACTATCTCTATTGTGTAATATTCACACTTTCTATCTGTACTACAGAATATCAATTCTGATTTAAAGGATTAGAGATTTCACAGGAGTAAGAAAGGTTTTGGACAAAGTAAGACTTTTTAAAAATGTCTTTTTAATTCTATTGGTGAATTTCTTAGTTATCTAGTAAAGTAGAATACATAAAAGAATTTTTCTGTGCCTTACAAAGTCTACTAGACTTCTGTCCACTGTAAGCTATTGTATTGAAAGTCATCAAAATTTGCTTATAGAGAGAGCATTAGGAAATAGTATTTTTTTTAGCTACTTAAAAACTTTAACACTTTACTCAAGTATATAATAGAAATGAAGTTTTTCTTTAATACATTTTGATTTCAGGCATATTTATATAAATATGTAAATAAGACATTTTAACTTGTCCTTTAAGAGGTAAATGATTCTCTGACCAAGGACTTCTGTTTCACAGAATGTTTTAAATGTCACTGCAGGCTTGGAGCAAAACAACACAGTTAAGGAAAAAGTACCACTGAAATTCTCAGGGCAAAGTGAGAAAAATAGAGTTCCCAGGGCTGCTACATCAAGAACTGAAAGAGTGTGGCCTGGAGGTGTTATTCCTTATGTCATAGGAGGCAACTTCACTGGTAAGATATTCCCAGAGGGTCTATTTTGATAATAGAATAATGATTATTATATAGACTAAGTATATATATTTTATAGAATACTAATACATAAAATATAGTATTAAATATAAGAAAGATTCCATTCACCTCAGTTGTCAGCATATCTTGAAATTTAAAAACATATATATATATTCTTGAGTTCTAAGAATCTAAAGAACTATTCTGGTCTGGTTATAGTGGTGGCGTCTATCTGCACAGCCAGGCTCGGGGCAGAGGAGCCACATGCAGACTTCTCTCTGGAACAGGCACTGTTTTATTCATGTCATGCCATTTTTCCAGGCAGCCAGCGAGCCATGTTCAAGCAGGCCATGAGGCACTGGGAAAAACACACATGTGTGACTTTCATTGAAAGAGGGGATGAAGAGAGTTACATTGTATTCACGTATAGGCCTTGTGGGTAAGTATATCTGTACTACAGAATATCAATTCTGATTTAAAGGATTAGAGATTTCACAGGAGTAAGAAAGGTTTTGGACAAAGTAAGACTTTTTAAAAATGTCTTTTTAATTCTATTGGTGAATTTCTTAGTTATCTAGTAAAGTAGAATACATAAAAGAATTTTTCTGTGCCTTACAAAGTCTACTAGACTTCTGTCCACTGTAAGCTATTGTATTGAAAGTCATCAAAATTTGCTTATAGAGAGAGCATTAGGAAATAGTATTTTTTTTAGCTACTTAAAAACTTTAACACTTTACTCAAGTATATAATAGAAATGAAGTTTTTCTTTAATACATTTTGATTTCAGGCATATTTATATAAATATGTAAATAAGACATTTTAACTTGTCCTTTAAGAGGTAAATGATTCTCTGACCAAGGACTTCTGTTTCACAGAATGTTTTAAATGTCACTGCAGGCTTGGAGCAAAACAACACAGTTAAGGAAAAAGTACCACTGAAATTCTCAGGGCAAAGTGAGAAAAATAGAGTTCCCAGGGCTGCTACATCAAGAACTGAAAGAGTGTGGCCTGGAGGTGTTATTCCTTATGTCATAGGAGGCAACTTCACTGGTAAGATATTCCCAGAGGGTCTATTTTGATAATAGAATAATGATTATTATATAGACTAAGTATATATATTTTATAGAATACTAATACATAAAATATAGTATTAAATATAAGAAAGATTCCATTCACCTCAGTTGTCAGCATATCTTGAAATTTAAAAACATATATATATATTCTTGAGTTCTAAGAATCTAAAGAACTATTCTGGTCTGGTTATAGTGGTGGCGTCTATCTGCACAGCCAGGCTCGGGGCAGAGGAGCCACATGCAGACTTCTCTCTGGAACAGGCACTGTTTTATTCATGTCATGCCATTTTTCCAGGCAGCCAGCGAGCCATGTTCAAGCAGGCCATGAGGCACTGGGAAAAACACACATGTGTGACTTTCATTGAAAGAGGGGATGAAGAGAGTTACATTGTATTCACGTATAGGCCTTGTGGGTAAGTGGAACCAGGGAATGAGTTAAGTAAATATAGAAGGGAAAAAAGTCCATAGATAAGATTCACTTTTCAAATATTTGCTTAGTCTTCTGCCCATTAAAAGTGTGAATAAATGAATACTATATTTTAAAGAAATGTATTCTTTGATCACAGACCTCTTCATCCTCCACCACCGCAGCTGCCCTTCCTTCTGTTCCAAATATATGATAGCACTGCCCACTAACCTGAGTTAGAAACCTCAGCTTTGTCTGCAGTGATTTTCAGTTTTCAACACATTGTTTCTGTTGATATCCACTATGTCTTTCTGTTTCCACTTTTATTCCATGTCAGTCCTCCTGTCTGTTCAAGCCTTTGTCCTCTCACACCTGCTCTATTTCAACTGCTCTCCTGTCTTAACTCATCAATTCACTGCCATTAGAATTATCTTCAAAAAATACTAATTAGAGCAAAATGCCACAATTTTTGAGATTCCTCAGTGTTTACAACAACCTACAGGGGTGTTTTCTAGATTTGCTTCTTACAGGATAATAACAATACTCTCTTCAAAACAACTATCCTGTAAGTTGTGAAAATACTGTGTTAAATTTCAGTAAGTATTCCTACAAGTAGTGTGCCAAACCTGCTAATATTCAGCCAATTTAAAGGAATAGAGAATACAGCGTCCCCTAAACTTATTTTAAAATGGGAACAGTTATCTCATGCTTCTAATAGTGAAGAATGTGATCAGTATCCCAGAACACATTTTGGGAAATGCCAGCCTGAGAATAAAATCTAGCTTCTTGGATATAACATTTACCACAGCTTGCATTTACTGCTGCTTCTGCCACGACGCCTCTTCACAAATCCCATAATCTAGCCAAGTTACAGTAATAGCAGTCCTCCGAGCAATTCAGTATAGTGTAAGAAAAACTTTTCATTGTGAAAATCTTGTGAAAAGTGAAAGTGAAACATATGGGGAATTTAAATAAAAAGCTTAAATCCTTTGGAGGAAATAATTCTTGCCCTAATGTCACATATTCTGAGGATGGGAAATGTGTATATTTCCCTAGGTGTTGGGGGCACTACATCATCTGGCTTTGTCCCATCTATTTTCCTAGAACATTTAAATTAACTTAAAAAGTAATGAGTTTTAATTTGGGTTCTATTAATTGACATTAAGGAAAAAGATACATTTTTTTCTATTTATTTTGGATAGTGCCATAATTTTTTATCTATGCATTATTTACACAGTGTTTTCTTCTAAGTTACTTTATTTATTCTTGATAAGTTTTGATTACATTTGAAGTCTCTTCTAATTCTTTATATATGATGGTTTAGTCGCTAAGCCATGTCCAACTCTTGCAACCCCATGGACTGTAGCCTGCCAGGCTCCTCTGTCCATGGAGATTCTCCAGGTAAGAATACCGGAGTGGGTGGCTTTTTCCTTCTCCAGTGAATCTTCCTGACCTAGGAATTGATCCTGGGTCCCCTGCATTGCAGACAGATTCTTTACTGACTGAGCTACAGAGAGTAAAGGTCTAAATCTAGACTATCCTTCCTTCCTTCTGGTTATCTAAGAGGAGTGGATATAGCTCAGGTTATATATTTCTAAATATACAACATATTCAGATCAGCACATCTTTTTTTTTACCCACCCTTCAATTTTGGAAAATAAATACATCCAAACTACCACTTAATTGTTTTATTGCTCAATTTCTGTTTGTAACAAATTCATATATATATTCATTTTGTTTTACTAGTTTGGTTCTTTTCAAAGTTTTCCATTTCACTTGTTTTACCCTGCTAAGCTATTTTATTTCATATATTTCATTCTCACCCATTTTTGAGCTATCCACAGTGGTACTTTGCTCTACAACAGCTGTCATAACTCCATTTCCACCGTTGGCTCAGATGTCTGCCTTCATCAGTGATGAGGGCAGGGAGCTTACCTGTGTCCCTCATGACACCCAGCACACTGCTTTAGGGGTAGGCTACCAGGCAAGTATCAGCAATTTACATGTCAGCTAAAGTTCATTGTGTATAATCCTAAAATAAAACAATGTAAGAATTCAAAGGGATTTTTGAAAAACATGTATTCAAGAATTTAGGGATTTGAAAACTGAAGTTATGACTTTCCCCAGGATACTTAAATCTGTAGTTACATTCCTGAAATTAGACCCTTGAGTTTACTTGTTACTGTTATAGTAGCAACATTGCATTTTGGTGGTTTGTTTTGGTGTTGATTTTCCAGTCCAAAGTTTGTACCGTATTATTTTTTTTCAGTGATAGGAAGGATGATACTTTTTATTGAACTTGATCAGGGCCTACTAATCATTCTAATCGTTTTGTGACTTCTAAATTTTATTTGAAATTACCATTATTGGCCAAAATTTCATGAAATAGTAATCTTTTGTCATGATGCTGCTGCATTTATAGCTCACAAAAATTAATTTAAATTATCAAAGAGTTTGACAGTTAATATTGCACAATTTAGTGAAAGACATCTAAAATAAGATATATTTTGAGTCAAACACTTAATGCTCTACTGGACTCAGTAATGGGTCTTTTTTCTTATAAGAGATGTGATATATAATATATCACATTTAACAACAGCTAGTATTGTTGGATATGAAGAACCTGTAAGGTGGTGCCATTGATATGAATGGCAACATTTATCTGCTCTGTTTCTAGCTTTAATTTGGAAGGTAAATGCATCTTGTTACTTATTATTATCATCACTTTGACTGAGTTTACCTGTTAAGTCAGACAACTTGTAACTCTTGCAAGTTTTAAAAATAAAAGCTGAAATAATCTCCATACTGGAATGGGTTGCCATTTCCTCCTCTAGGGGATCTTCCCAACCAGTGAAGTTAGGAGTTGAGGAATTATTAAATATCTGTCTGTGCTTGCACTCATTCATGTCTGATTCTGCAACACTTTGGAGTGTAGCCCACTAGGCTCCTCTGTCCATGGGATGTTCAAGGCAAGAATACTGGAATGGGTTGCCATTTCCTCCTCCAGGGAATCATCCTGACCCAGGGCTTGAACCCACATCTCCTGTGTCTTCTGCATTGCAGACATATTCTTTACCCACTGAGCCATCAGGGAAGTCCATTATTAAATATGGAATCATCTATATAATTTAGAGCATGAATTTCCTTTAGTATTCTGCTACAGTCAATTTTTATTCAATAAATATTTATTGGGTGTCTAATTCCATATCAAGCCTTTGATGGGTGTGGAAATAATAAAATTTTAAAAAGAAAAATGTAGAAATCAGAACTTTTTGCTATTTAACTCTAGTGCATTTCCTATTTTTAAATTGAATTATGATTATACATTATATTCTGCATATGTGTATGTATATATATTCATATGCAAGTTTCTAGATATATGATATCTTGCTTCATCTACAATGGTCATAGGCTTTAATCTCTATATTGGCAAAAGTTTTAACCTGAGCAATAAATATTTTTCAGTGAATATCTATTACCTTATTTGGCATTTATCTATTTTGCAATATTACTAATTATAACCAGAAAAAAGTGAGACCATTTTAAAACAGAAGTTGTTTGATTTTATTCTTTGTCAGAGATTTATGTAACTGAATTTTTATCTTCAATTATTATATGCTAATTTTTAATGATTGCCAAAAAGCAATCAGACTTAGAAATAATTTATTTTCTTATTTTCTGGATTTTATGTATTTTAATTGCATTTCTCTTTGGTAATATTGATTATTCAGATTATGATAGTAGTCACTTATCCATCCTTTTCTATTGAATTCTCATTTCATGTCACTTATGCTAACTTTGGGACCTATAAAATTGAGAGTAAGGTGTTTTCTTGGCTTTCCCAGGTATCTTAGAGATAAAGAATCTGTCCACCAATGCAGGAGCTGCAGAAAACAAGGGTTTGATCCCTGGTTGGGAAGATCCCTTAGAAGAGGAAATTGCAACCCACTCCAGTATTCT